TAGCGATTGAATGTGTTTTCTGCAGCGATTTTAATTATAAATTTTGGTTTATTACATATTTATGATATAAAATAAAGTCCTGTGTGGTCGGAACAAGTTTGTGCGTATGTTTGGTTTGCCAAAAGGCGTAAATTTGCGTGAAAAGTGGGTGCACGTTTGTGGCCAGAACGGTGGCATTGAAAAATCGACCCGTGGTAATGATATGCGATTGTAAAACACTTTCAATCATGAAAACCATATTTTATGAACTTTTTTTGCTAATTGTCATCAAGTTTCACTTTGTATATTTTATAATAAATACCGATTTAATCGCACTCAATCACCGCGCCTTTTTCGTTTTCTTTGTTTGTTTTCATTCTTAGGCAGATGTCAAAAACACTCAGAAATATACTTTTTTCTTGCTTCTTTGATTAGGTGATCTTGTATTTTTGGTTCATGGTATGTAATTGTGAAAAAAACGTGGCTTTTAATGCCGCATCTGTGTGTATTCCTGAACTGGGTCTTACGCCTAAAAGCATGCCACATTAATTTTTCGCATGACTGGATATGTACATATGTATGTATGTATGTATAGAGTTACACGCCATAAAATCAAATAGCAAACTTTACCAATATGTACATAATATGCGTTTTATAAGTAACCTGAAAAGTGATAAATCAATGCTGTCTTAGGCAATCAAAGAAAATGCACACTTACCAATGATCCATCCTCGCTAGTACTAGCATCGAATGCCTTTTTTGAGAAAACTGACAGCAGGTCAATCAAATCCGATTCAGCGATTTCCATCTTAAGTCTTCACTTTTTCTTCGCTGCATTTACTACCACTTGCTTTCCTTTTTTGCCTTTTCAAATATCAGGCTGAATTACTAACAAATTTTGCCACAAAATCCAATTGCAGCGGGATGTTAATGAACAATTCTAAGTACCAACTATTATATTTCTTCTTCACATTAGGAAATTCTAGGGTGTCTTTTAACAACTATACACTTTTCTGCAATAGTTGATATCAAGCAGAATTGACAAACGCCGTACAAGACTGTACTGTGGCAAAATATTATTTTTTGTTGTTCTTATTGTTAAAAATTTTCGCCAGACTTGTGATTTTGGAACCGTTATCTGATATAATTTTTTTCCACATATAGTTTTTTGCAAATATATTTACATATATGCATTTAAACATTTTTGTTGACGTAATTAGGAATAATTTATTTTATTTCGCTTTTGCTTATACATACATTTGCGCATAAAACGCTGGCTTTGGAAGACACTTGCCTTTTCCTCAAATGAAATGGAGCATAGGAAAACTCCACCCTTGAAAGGCAGAATACGTTTTATTTTATCTTTTCCGCAACAATTGTAGCACTATGTAAATCACCAAAACTTGTATAATGTTAAGAAAGATTTTTGATCGCGATAGAAATTAATCGACAATTTTTCACAAAAACTTTTTGCGTTTCTGATTAAAAAACAACGAGGACAAGCGCACTTTCGTACAAAGTTGGCAAAAGCGTAAATCAGAATGACAGCAAATAAAGGAGAAGCAACATAACCATTTGTGGTGCTGTCACGAATGTCATGTGTGGAAAAAGAAAAACTAGAAACAAGTGTTGCCAAGTCTTAAATTACACTAAGCACTAAAGCTCAAGAAAAATTTCGTTTTTTCTCGAAATAAGCACCAAATTTTTATTGGAGTATTTAAAGGACTTTGTATGCATACAAAAAATTTATAAAATTAATAAATATCAATGTTTCTTGCTCAACGGTCGAATTTATCATGTTTTCTATAAATTCAAATACTTTCGTCTGACGTAACATTCTTAAGCTGAAATTAGTCAAGTAGTTACATGGCGCTCTGGTATGACAGATCGTGTCAGCTGACTCGGTTTTACGTACCGGTATGTTTACGTTCTTGACTAATTTCAGCTTTATTCATATTTTCTAATTTGCAGCTGTGACCAGCGTTGCCGTTTCGCATAGTCTAACAAAATTGATACATTTCCTGCATGATGCAATAATACAAGGTGGTATCAGTTGTGACAGCTCGATTTGACACTGCCTTAGCTCAGTAGAATGAGAAGAAAAACGGGAAGAAGTGAATCCCCATATGGGGGAAAAATATAAAATTTCACATTTTCTCCTAAACAAAATTTGATTTTTTATAGTATATTCGTTATGAAATGAAATAAAATAGGATCAAATACCTTTTTAAGAAAACAAACAAAAAATAAAAAACATTCAATTATATTAATGGGCAAAGAATAGTTAAAGAAGTAACACTGTTTCGCGTAATTGGCTGTTTTTGCTTACGCGTAAAAGCACATTTAGCGCATTTAGCTCTAAATGCTACTCTAAATGTACATTTATCCATACAAAATTCGTCACCTAAATGCAACTAAATGCAACTCCATTTTTGCATTAAGAATCTAAATGCTAAAAGCAACCCTGTGATCTTCCAAAATTTCCACGATTCGAACATGGTTTAAAGAGAAAAAGTGGCAACATTGCTTTTTCGAGTATACAGTTGCTAGCTGCGTTTCAGTGATCGCCCATCGAGATTTCTTTTATTTTACATTACATATTTGGATAAAGAAAAGTTAAGCAAATTCAACATCGATGTGATGCTGATAGAAATCAGGATCAATTTATGATCAACTCTGTTTGTTTTGTTTCCTAATTAAGTGAGGAAATTTTAATTGACAGCACCGACAAATGAATATATACACAAACAAATGCTCGGTTATGGTTAAAACAATTCAAGTTTTTGTATTGAATTTTTGGTTTAAAATTTATTTTTTCCTTTTCAGTAGGGTTTTTGCACATTATCTTCTGCGTGAGAATTGATCGTAATATACACGGATCTAAATAAGAGACTGGAACACGGCTGTTTGTCAAAAGCATATGATTTCGAACTCGCGTAAATGGACATTTGCTAAATGCTATAGCATGAACGCTCTTCGAAAACATATGTTCGAAAGTGCTAAATGTTGCATTTTAAATGCAGCAAAAACGCTGTATAAGGCAGTCAATATGGCGAAATTATAGCGAGAAGTTGCCAACTGATAACACCTTGTATTATTGCATCATGCATTTCCTGAATGTTTAAACTAAATTTAGTGCAAAAAGCACGAAGCTGGCAACAGTGCTAGAAACTGTCAAATTGTGGAACAAATAGCTAAGACAACCACCCCACAATTTAAAATAATTGAGCCTCGACACACTAGTCTTTTCAGCCCGTCTGAAACCGATTTTTCACGGCAAGAGAAAATAATGGCTGCGTTTCTTTATACATTCCGGATAATCCCATTTCACAGCCGGAATAAACAGAATGCGCTTGAAATATCCGTCAACATATCAGCAGGAACGTTCTAAAGAATAAATAAACAAAATAGTTTATTCCAAACATTTAGAATGAATAAAGAAATGCAGCCAATTACAACACCGGATGTTTATAACCAACCGCCAGATATCTTGGCGCAATTCCACCAAGGCCAAATTTTATTTTACATCCCTGCTAGACTTTAGAATTTCTGCCTATTTTCAGTGCCACTATTAATAAATAAACAGCTTTACACTCATACACTGTCTTCCAATGCGAGTTTGAAGTGGTTATATACGAATTATATACTTTTTAACAAGTTTCCGCAAATCATGAACATCGCCACTGAAAAATGATGGTAATTCTCTAGGGTGGGGTAACAACCCCTAAAAAAGGTGCGGAAAAGTCGGGAGGCGTACCAAACGACGCGTTTCGGCCCCCCTAATAACATTCCGGAGGGGGTGAGATAATATTATTAACCATTTAAAAGTTATGAACAAAAAACTTTTGTTAAATTTCGTTGTTTTCTATAAGCAATTACCACGCCAAAAATGCACTAAATCACCAGTTTCCACTTTTAAAACACTACTAAAACGTTTCCGGTTATTATTTTATGCAAACCAAATCATTTATTCACTTTTATTTTATATATTTCGTTAATAAAACAGAGTAAACAAACTTTGCGCCTGCTAAAATTATTATAACCTCAAATCGCTGGTATTGCCACTTTATTTCACATTTCATTTGCGCTATTATACTCAGTTTACACTATACACTTCTTCTTCTTCTTTTTACTTTCATCTAAATAAGATATTGTAACCAAAATATAATAGCAAATTTCGCTATACCATCGCGCGATTTTTTATTAAAAATTTTCACTATTTTTTGAAGTATTAATTTTTATAGAAAAAGCGCCGCAGGCGAAAATTTTTAATAAAAAATCGCGCGACTTTTTATTAAAAATTTTCATTATTTATATATATATTAAACGAAAGAAGATACCGAAAAGCATTGAACAGTGCACACATCTCATAAGGAAAAGTGAATTATTACGAAATACTAATACAGTGGCAGCACTATAGCTATTTTGGAATCTCGCGTTTCGGCTCGCAAAGATTGTCAACTTCTTTTTAATAACAAAATAATCTATCTTATACCATGTCCCCACCAAAAAGTTAACCATCTCAAATCGAACTTAACCACATCACTAACTATTGCTGTCCACACTGCGGTTTGAGGTTTATAAAACAGTACAAATGTAAAGAACTGTGTTCGGACCTCAAAAATCGATTCAGGACTAAATTTCTGCAAAATCGGAGCAAAAACAAATTTTCCGTACTAGATTGAGTTTTTTATTTTTGTTTCTGACATTAATTGTTTGACTAAAAAATTTTCTATTCATGCAAAATAAGAACGCGGGGCAATGTAAGGATAATATGTTACATATTTAGGTAATTTTTAGCATTTTCTATATAGTAGAACGTATCTAACACTTAATTTTTTAAAAAGCAAACCTTTTCTACTTTATATAAATTTCATTCTACATATATTTTTTAACAAGTTAAGTAAAGTTCTGCATCCGC